TTGAATGTCAACTTGCTTGTTATCATTCCAGTTTTATTAAAACTACTTTGAACCAATGCAAAAACGAAGTACATGTCTTCATTTATTTGACTTGTGTAACTCTACTTATATAAACTTCCTGAATTTAGATAGAAGATGCCTATTTACTGCAGGACCAATGTAGGAGAGACGGCTCAAAATTTGTCGGAAGTGGAGAAAAATGAAATAAAATATCTGAGGGGACTTGGTAAAGGTATAACAATACATACACATATAAAAAATATATATATTGTTTGAATTGAATACTGGTGCTGTAAGGTTGCCTTTATCAAGTTATATCACAACAATTTATATTCAGAAGTTGCATTCGTTCTACATGTTAACAATAATCATCAAAATTTATTCTGGAATTTACTATTTCATTTATATGGTAAAAGCACCACATATGGAGATCCAAAAGAAGATGATAATGATGATGATGATGAGATGGTTTCTGAATTCTTGAAAAGCAACTAAGGTAGTATGGATAGTAATACCAATGGTGCATAGAACATATACTATTTTTAGTTTCACTCGCGTTCTATTGGCATACTTATTTGTTCTTGTAGATAGTAGTGCAGTACTGCAACACTGATAGCTCAAATAACATAAATTTATTAGTCCCTGCTCGTTCACTGTTCAGGTAAGAAAAAATGCTTCCGGCACAAACGAACACTTTTAGGATGAAAGAAGAAGATTGTGAAACTCAATGTATTGAGTATTCAGTTTTTCTGTGTGTTTACAAATGAAATTTGCATCCCTATTTATAAGAACTAAAAACAACTATTCTAGTGGCTTTCTTAGAAATTTTTTAAGCTGAAAAATCAGCCTAAAATGGCTGCTATGAAAGTGCCATGAAAGTGTAATGAAAGTGCAAAGGAAGTTGCACTTCACTAACAAGGAAACTGCAAGATTATACCTTACAATTCTTTCCCTAATCCTGCTGCTCTTGCTTGTTTCCCACCATTCCAATCTTGATCCTCAGCTCCATGAACCGAAGACGGCCGAGTGGCTTGGTAAGGATGTCTGCGAGCTGCCGTCTGGATTCGACAAACTCTAAAACAATCTGTCCTTCATTGATACAATCACGGATGAAGTGAAAACGGGTATCGATGTGCTTGCTCCGGTCATGGAGGACTGGATTTTTTGCAAGGGAAATTGCAGGCTGGTTGTCCACCATCAGAGCTGGTGGACGAGCTTCCTCGCCGGTCAGCTCTCC